GAGAGTCCCAGATGGAGCAGGAGGAAGGTGGGGTGCAGAACTCAAATTCTAGTAAGAAGACCAGACTTAATGGTCTGACTGAGACTGGAGGAACCCTGGAAAGCATGGCCCCCGGATTCTCTATCAGCCCAGAACTAAAGCAATTTCCGAGGCCAACTCTTCAGACAGGGATTGGACTGGACAGTGGGACATAAAGTGATACTCGTGAGGAGTGTGCCTCTTTGCTCAAGTAGGTATAAGAGACTAAACAGGTAGTTTCTGTCCGGAGGTAAGATGGGAAGGCAGAGAGGGTTAGAAGCTGGATGAATGGACATGGGGAATCAGGAGTGGGAAGGAGGAGAGTGCTGTCACAGTATAGGGGAAGCAATTAGGGTCACATAACAATGTATGTATAAATTTTTGTATGGGAAATAATAAAAAATTTAAAAAAAATGAATTTATGTAGAACATAAGTGCCATGAGGCCAAGGATTTTTGTTTCACTGACGACTGTATTTCCTGCACCTAGAACACTGCCAGGCCCACAGTAGGTGTTCAGTTAAGATTTCCTGAACGAACGAGTACATTTTAAAATTGCATGTCTTCTCAAGAGAACTGAAAATGTCCACACAAAAACTTGTATAGAATATTTATAGCAGCAGTACTCATAATAGCCCAAAAGAGGAAGTAACACAGATGTCCATCAATAGATGAATGGAGAAAATGTGACATATGCACACAAGGGCATACTACTCATCCATAAAAACACATGAAGTACTGATACATGCCACAACATAATGCTAAGTAGAGGAAGCCATACACAAAAGACCACATGTTGTATGGTTCAACTATCACGAAATGTCTGGAATAGGCAAATCCATAAAGGCAGAAAGTAGACTGCTGATTCCCAGGGGTGAGAAAGGGGAGAATGGGGAGTGACTGCTAAAGAGTATGGGGTTTCTTTTTGAGGTGAGGAAAATGTTTTGGATAGTGGTGTGATGGCTACACAAGGAGCCCTGGCGGTGCAGAGGTTAAGCACTCAGCTGCTAACTGAAAGATCAGCAGTTCAAACCTACCAGTCACTCCATGGGAGAAAGATGTGGCAATCTGCTTCCGTAAAGATTACAGACTAGGAAATCCTATGGGGTAGTTCTACTCTGTCCTATAGGGTTGCTATCAGTCAGAACTGACGTGACCGCAATGGGTTTTTAACGGGATGGTTACACAATCTTGTGGATATACTAAACACCACTGAATTGTATACTTTAAAAGGGTAAATTTTATAGTATGTGAATTATATCTCAATTTTAAAAATTGTACATCTTACATCTAATGTCCATTGGCACAAACACAATTTGTCTACTAACTATGATTTTATAGTCTCTTTTGGCAGATGATAAAAGTAATAATAATAGCAACTACTTGAGAACAGAAAGATGAATACACAGTCTCTGCCCTCAAACTGCTCACAGTCTCAATGACAGGTAACACATAAGTATAACAGAACTTGGTAAATGCAATGATAGCAATATCCACAGGGTATTAAAAGTACTCAGGAAGAACACTTAATGCAGCATAGAAGCAATAAGGTTTTCCAGAAGAGATGCTGTCTAAGTCCTAAAAAAAGGAAAAAGTAGCAATTAGCCAGACAAGTAATAGAGAACTTATGTAACAAATAGGAAGACACCATAAAAAAAACTGTAAATGGCATCTGCTGTAATTACGGGAGGTTTCATCAAAGCTGTCCTCTGCTGTTTTAGACTAAGTATCATAACACTCATATCACATTTTGGGTAACCTACTGTTCTTGCCTTCCATGTGGGAGACCCAGGTTCAATTCCTGACCGATACACCTTATGTGCAGCCACCACACATCTGTCAGTGGTAGACTGCATGCTGTTGGGATGGGAACAAGTTTCAGCAGAGCTTGGAGACTAAGACAGACCAGGAAGAAAGGCTTCGCAATCTACTTCCAAAAATCAGCAAATGAAAAGCCTATGAATCACAATGGATCACTGATCCACAACCGATCACGGGGATGGCACAGGACTGAGCAGTGTTTCATTCGATTGTGCATGTGGTCACCATGAATCAGGGCTGACTCGATGGCAGCTAACAATAACACTGTAATACTGGTAGTGACCAATTAAATGTAGATGCTGCCTTCCTCACTAGTTAAAAAGTTTCTTCATGGCAGTAGACTTGTTCTACGTATCTATTTGTAGCCCAAGATTCTACTATGGTACCTCCTATATAATACACTTTCAATAAATTATGATTGATGATAACAAAGAGGTGACAAGTAATCACATCAGCAAAACCAAACCAAAGGCAACTGCAGGAGAATTTCATACACTCTTGAAGATGTTTTACACTACTAACATACAAGAGTTTCAGACGTCGTCTGAGTACCTGCACAGTAGTATTTTCTTCTCTAAGGAGAAGAATTTCAGCTGTCAGGGCATCGATGAGCTCTCGGTGGTCAACCAGTACTCGCTCCAGTTGCTGCCTTGTCTCTACTTCTTTACGCAGTTGCAACTCACTCTACAAATAAAAAAAAAATAAACTTCCAGTAGAAGCATCACATGCTGAAAACTGAAAGTTGTCACTCAAAGCTATCAAAGAAGATATTTACAAAGAAACATATATTATGTGACAGTAATGAGAATTAAAAATTTTTATTAAGAAGTTTACATTTCATTAAACAAACTATCTCTAAAAGGATATGCTGGTATCTGCTCATGATAGGTGGCTACAAGGAAGCCAACAGGCTGGCCAGAAGTAAGGGGCAGGAGTAGGACTCTTCACTGAACACCATTCCGCATCTCTGAACTTCATGCCATGTGAATTTATCACCTATTCAAAAGTTAAGTTTATTAAGACATAATTTAAAATCAATGACTACAGGTTTAAATGGCATAGCTTTGTAAAGCAAGAGATTAGCCAAAAGACATGCTTCTACATCTGTATTTTCCTACCTATCATGTCTATAGACAACAGGCATCCACTCTCCACAATGAACTACAGTGGGAGCGAGGTGCAGAGAAAGTCAGGAGAGTGAGGATACATTCAGTAGTTCTACTTACCCTATAACTAACAAACAGTAATATTTAGTATTAACACAGAAGAAAATTTCATTTATAGCAGATTTACCTTACTAATTATATTTTGCGAAAGCTCATATTAAAATCAGTATCATTTATCTGATCGTGTCGCAATGAATGGTAGAGGGCGATGAAGAGCATAAACTTTCACTGCAGATAATCTAAAAGTGAAGTTTTAAGCAAAGCTATTTAAGGCTGACTGTACTTTATTCAGAGGTTGCAATAAATTAAGTGGAGACAAGAAAAAACCCTGAAGAGGAGACTTTAAGACCTCACGCTCTCACCTCTCGCAGGTAGCGAAGCAGGCGGCAGAGGGAGCTCACCAGGGACAGAGTGAACCCTGTGAGACCCTGACCGCCCTGCAGGCCCTGGACCTCGCGTCCCGTCCACCGCTCATACTCTTCCATCTCCTGCTCCACTTCATCTATCATGTGTCTGAGGACATCCAGGCTGGAATTATTGTTATTTCGGAAATCTGCGGAGGCTGGGCTAGTTGATAACGTATTTTTCTTCTGCTTGGAAGGAGCACGCAAATCCGGTTTTCTTTTCACTGATGACAGAAATTATTCTATTTTTAAGGCCAGGAAAAATTAACTCAAATACTGCTAGAAAAACCTTTAGACTGCTATTCACAATCTATAAAATATTTGTATAGAAGTTCTCACCATTGTTTCTCATGAAAATCTCTACAGTTTAAACCAGGTTTACGTTATCTATAAATCAATGGACCAGAACCACCTTTCTATACAGTTACTTGGGATGGAAGCAAGCACTTCTTAGCTATCATTAAACGAACTCTTACTTAACTGGGGCCAACTCGATGAGTTTAAGGGTAAAAAAACATTGACTAGGAGATTAAGATAAAATAATCTCTGGGTGGTGCAAACGGTTAAGCACTCCACTACTAGCCAAAAGGTTGGTAGTTCAAACCCACCCAGAGGTGCCTCAGAAGACAGGCCTGGCAATCTGCTTCTGAAAGGTCACACAGCCTTGAAAATCTTATGGGGTACAGTTCCACTCTGCACACATGGAGTCACCATGAGTTGGAATCAACTCGACAGCAACTAACAACAAGAAGGGATGAAGGTGGCTGTATCAAGTTAGATGTTTTAAGAATTCATCTTTGTGAGTTAAGAAACTGAACCTTTATTTAACAGCTGTTTTGGCTTCCTGGGGTTCAGCACTTGTCCCACAACATAACTTGAGTCTAGAGTCTCAGAAGATTCTTCAGGCTGAAGCCTGGTGTGGATTCTCTTGACGGCACTGGTAGCGTTCAGAGCAGCTAAAAGGAAGAACATTTCCAAAAGTACTTCATCTCAAGTGAACAAAATTTTTAAAAGTATTTCAACTGATACATCCATCAGTATCTTACTCAACTAGGCTAGAACAATCAAAGCTCAAATAACATTCCTTTAGAAAACCACCGTGTTCACGAAAGAACCCAATAAAGCAGGCTAGCACTCTGAGCAACAAGGCAAGGGAGAAACAAACGTCTGTTCACCTGGTGGTGTGGCAGATAATGGAGGTCCAGAAGACTGTGTCGCTGTTTTCTGCTGAATATCAGTCCACAGTTTATTAATTAACTCAGAATTTTCTTCCTTCAGTTGGTGAAGAAACCTATAAAATATATGACAATAACGTATATTAGAGCCCTGGTGGTGCAGTGGGTTAAGTGTTTGGCTGCTAACCAAAAGGTCAGTGGTTTGAACCCACTAGCGGCTCCGTGGGAGAAAGACGTGGCAGTCTGTTTCCGTAAAGATTACAGCCTTGGAAGCCGTATGGGGAGTTCTGCTCTGTCCTGTAGGGCCGCTATGAGTCGGAATCAACTCAACAGCAACGGCAACGGGATATTTTAAATTGTTCAACTGCTTACATGTTTGATTTGAAGGAGTTTTTACTAATTCATAATGAAAAGGAAAAAAAAAACACTCTTCACCTTAACTGATAAGATAGATGGTCAAAATGTCTGTCGTCTAAGTGTTAGAAGGAATTATTCTGACTCCTCCCCAGTTTCCTCCCTACCTTGGCCTCTAAAGTGGGAGCTTTCTGCCCTTTCTGAAGTACTGGGGCACTCTCGCCATCAACCTGTCTCTCTCCCTATAGGAAAGGAACTAAATATCTATGGATCAGCCCCTTCTGGCTTCTCTATCCTACAAACGAGCCTGTCCTCAGTGCACAGCCATCCTCTGCTCATCACTGAAGTACGTTTACGGGAGCAGAATCTACCCCTGTTGGGTGGGGAGGTGGGTGGAGGTGAAGCAGTTTCAGGAAGTTCATATTTGCAGGCTTTTTGATTACAAAGCTTATGTCATAATTAACTTTACCACTGACATAGCTGATATTTTCATCTTTAACCCTCTGATATACCTGTCTGTTTCTCAAATGAATTGAGACTAAAAAAAGAGTTAAGGGGCCAAAAAGTGGAAACACCCCAAATGTCCGTCAACTGATCAATGGATAAATAAGCTGTGGTGTATCCATACAACAGAATACTACTCAAACATAAAAAAGAAACGAAATACTGATAAATGTTACAACGTGGATGAACCTTGAAAACATTATGCCAAATGAAAGAGGCCAGGCATAAAAGACCACATAGTGCATGATTCCATACATAGGGAATACCCAGAACAGGCAAATCTGGACATTTCTGCCCACAGATACAGAAGGTAGATGAGTGGTTGCCTAGGGCTGGAGAGGGTGGGTGAAAGGGGTGGGGGTGACTGCTAAAGAATATGGCGCTTCTTTTTTACAGTGATGAAAATGTTCTAAAATTGACTGCAGTGACAGGTGCACAACTCCATTGATATACTAAAAACAACTGAATATCACACTTTAAATCAGTAGATTATGTGGCGTCTCCATAAAGCTGTTTATCATTGAACTGTGTCCCCCCAAAAATGTGTGTATCAATTTGGCTAGGCCATGATTCCCAGGGTTGTGTGGTTGTCCTCTATTTTGTGATTGTAATTTTACATTAAAGAGGATTAGAGTGGAATTGTAACACCACCCTTACCCAGGTCACATGCCTGATCCAATGTAAAGGGAGTTTCCCTGGGGTGTGGCCTGCACCACCTTTTATCTCTTATAAGAGATAAAAGGAAAGGGAAGCAAGCAGAGAATGGGAGACCTCATACCACCAAGAAAGAAGCACCGGGAGCAGAGCATGTCCTTTGGACGCAAGGTTCCTGTGCAGAGAAGCTCCTAGTCTGGGGAAAGACTGATGATGATGAGGACCTTCCTCCAGCGCCGACAGGGACAGAAGCCTTCCCCTGGAGCTGATGCCCTGAATTTGGACTTGTAGCCTACTGGACTGTGAGAGAACAAACTTGTCTTTGTTAAAGCCATCCACTAGTGGTATTTCTGTTAGAGCAGCACTAGATAACTAAGACATTGTTATAAAAATATTTTAAAGAGGAAGAGGAGAATTTTACTTAGTGGCCCCAAAAACCTCAACCTAAAGGAGATGCTTTCAAGAAACCTACAAACAGCACATTAGAACACTAAGGTCCATGAAGTAGTCATTCAAAGGGGACTAGTTACCACAGCATTAGAAAGACCCCTCTGTGAGATAGTGCTGGCTCTAAGTCCATCCCTCGGGATAACTTCCAACAAGAATTTGTTATAATCAGGTTTCTGTACAAGTTGGGAAAATAAACAAAAATTAGTCTGAAACTTACATTACTGTATCTAATGTCTATACTTTTACGAGTCAAGTTACAGGAAACATAACAACATGAAAATAATACACCACTACCTGTTATGGGCTAAATAATGGCCCCTAAAGATATGTCTACATCCTAATCCAATGAACCTGTAAATGTCACCTATTATAGCAAAACAGGGTCTGTGCAGGTGGGATTAAGAATCTTGAGATGGGGAGATTATGCCAGATTATCAAGGTGGCCCTAAACATAATCACATGTATCCTTGTAAGAGGGAGGCAAAGGAGGATTTCAACGCACACACAGACAAGAAGGTAACGTGAAGGTGAAGGCAGAGACTGAAGTGGTAAGGACACAGCCACAGAATGCTAGCAGCCAGGAGAAGCTGGACGAGTCAAGGAACAGATTCCCTTCCAGAGGTGCTGGAGGGAGTGTGGTGTTACTAACACCTTGATTTGGGTCCAGGGAACTGATCTCAGATTTCTGGTCTCTAGCACTGTGAAAGAATAACTTTCTGTTGTTTTCAGTATCAAGTTTGTAGAAAATTGTTACAGCAGACTCAGGAAATTAAACACCGCCTTACATTTCTGTGGCAACTCATTAAAAAAAAAGCTCAAAGCACCTTCTCTACATTATTCTTCAGATATAAGGAAAAAAGTCTTTATCTCCTTATGACCATAAACTCCCTTAGATCTGGAACTCTGTTTTATTCAATTTTGCTTATTTTGGGTAATTTATTGACTTATTGATTGAAATCCAAGCCCCTTCCATTTTCACTGATGACCACTTATTAACACTAATTCTATTTTATGGTATCATCAATTACAATAAGATTCTAAGGACACCATTTCATAGACAACTTAGCAATATCAGCATCTAATTTACATCCTTACCATAAAAATCCACACCCAAAGGAAGCTGCCTAAGCCTACAGGAACTTTCCTTCTCATCCAGTTATTGCCACTTGGAAATTTCTCCTCTCAATGTTTTTCCTCCTTTCTTGCCATGGTGGCCTTTAGCATCAGCCTTTCCTCTCTCAACCCTAGATTTGCTCCTCCCCACACAAAAGTCTACAGAGCAAGGAAGGCAATGGCAAAGGGAAAGTGAGGTAAATGCTTGCAATCTCTGCTCCCCTACTCTGGATGCACTGGCCCCAGAAACATCAATGACCCAAGTAAAGGCTTTTGTGGACTGGGCCAAAAACCTAATTATCATGTATAATATTACCTCTATGAGAAATTTTGTTCAGTGTTCACAGGTGCATATACTCAAATGAGAAAACAACTTTGAGATCGTATATTGTACCCCTCATGTTTTACAGCTGATGAAATGAAGACCCACAGATAACCTAACTAGTAAATAACCAAGGGCTTAGTCTCCAGATTCCAAGTCTAACGCATCCTCTAAAACTTCATGCTAAGTAGCTGAAAAGTAACCTTCAGAGGCGTAAAATAATCAAAAGTTGGTAACTGCCTATTCACACATTTAAAGAGATAAAATTAACCTTAACCAACCAAATAAAAAAAAAAACTTATTAAAAATTCAAATGTAAAGAATAAAAGCAATTGTGTACAAGATTATTTACATTTAGGTTATGAAAAGAACAGTGCTTAAAAGATGATACATATTTCCAGGTATTCCTCCGAAAATGGTGGCTTGCTAAATTCAAACCACTCCACATACCCTCCAAAATACTATAGAGTTCAACAGGAGCATCTAACCCACACCATCTACATTACTGCAAGACAGAGACTATTAACTTCAAATTACCCATAAGCGGAAAACTAAACACCAAATTCCAGCACAAGGAGGCAGGGCCAAGATGGCGGATCAGTCAGATGCTTCCTATGGTCCCTCTTACAACAAAGACCAAAAAAAACAAGTGAATCCATTATATATGACAATCTAGGAACCCTGAACATCAAAGACAAAGTTGAGGAATTGGACTGAGTGGTAGGGAGAGGGAGAGACGGTTCAGAAGCAGTGGAGAAGTGCCAGACCTGAGTTAGCCAGCACCAGCTGGCTGGATCAGTTGGCACACTTGGGCTACGGCAAGCAGTAGCGCTTGGGACGCATTTTACCACGTCAGGAGAGACCAGGTGGTGGAGAGTCTGCACAAGACTCCAGAGCCAGGGGGCAGTGATGCTGGATCTGTGAAAGTTAAATGCAAGCATCTAACTTACCACATGGGATCAAAATAACCCTCCCCCTCTGAGACTTTCCTGGCAGAGAAGTGCCTCTTTTCCCCTCATCCACGCCCCTCCCTGCTCTGCTCCCATATCAGTCTGGCTGTAGTCAATAACTGCCATGCCCTCTAAGCCAGAAATAGGAGCTACAGTAGCCATGCCAGTCTCATGGCTTTAGGGAAAAAACAAACAAACAAAGAAAACCACCAACTCCCCTAAGCTTTTAGGACTAACCACACCCAAACCAGTCTCAGGTACTCAGGACTAACCGCGCCCAAACTAGTCTCAAAGCTTTAAAAAATCGCCATGCCTCCTAAGCTAGGAACTCAGAGCAGGTACTGCCCCTTTGACTAGGCACAGGAATAAGGGGTCCACAGACTTTGAATGCCTTTACCTCTGCCTAGACCTGTGTGGGCCGATTCAACAGCGTAAGCCCTCATTAGCATAGAACAGGGTATATACCTGAAGCCTATTTTCAACTGCAACAGCCAAACGGGAGTGGCAGATTCATGACAGGGTCCTCAGCCACCCACATCAGGGGCCTGAGGAATAGCGGTTTCACCCACTTCACCTAGCCACGCACAACGGAGGTCTGAGAATAAGTGGTGCTTCCCAGTCCTTAAAGCCAACAGCACTGGGTGCCCAAAGTCCGGAAGCAAAACCCACCTACCTACACACTCCAGGGAACAGGGACACGCCTTCCACCTAGGCACTCAGGGATATCCATCAGCCCCCTACCTTGCTCAGCACATAGTGCCCTACTGCA